TGCCCTATGGAGTGGGGAGGGAGGCAGGACAGCCAAGCACCCTTACATGGTTTGGATGGACAGGTTTCTCACAGCAGGAGGGCGAAGGTGACTGACCCTGGGTGCGGGGGCTGGAGAGCCTGCCGCAGGGCTGGGGCAATGGCTTCAGCGATTCAGGGCAGGTGCAGTGGGGAGGCCTCCACCCCACCACCCAAACTCTTGGGCATGTCACTGACCCTGATTGCCAAAGAGAAGCTAATATCACCTGCCCTGGCTAATTCACAGATTTCAAGCTTGACAAGATCAAACAGCATCACATGTGTGAGGGCTTTGGCAAAGTCAGATGTAAGTGCAAATTTTTATTACTATTATCAGGATTAGAACTGAGAACTTATTTGACTTCCTGGCCTTCTCATTCCTTCACTTGGTCACACTGGGATCTTCCTGCCAGACATGACACTAACTCTGGCCTCCGGTATCATTCAGAGTATCTCACTGACAGGCTCCTGAGAGGTTCCCTTCCTGCCCCAGCCTCTTGCAACACCCTCCTTTCCCCTAAGGTGATCAAATGTCCAGGTTTGCCTAGGACTAAAGGGTTTCTGGATGAAGGACTTTCAGTGCTAAAACGGAGTCAGTTCCAGGCAAATCAAGACAATTGGTTACCCTATTGTCCTCCCCACCTCCAGGTTGCTTCCTCTTCCCTGTGGTGACTATGATGTCCTGGGCATTTCAGCGTGCTCTCTCTCAAAGGCCCTTCCCTCTTCTTGGTGGGACTGGCAAGGTCCCTCCAGGTTCTGGCCATAGCCTCCTGCTTGTGCGCTCCCTGCACCCCACTCTTCCTCATGTCTCACCTGGCTGACCTATTCTGGCTTCAGCTTCCTAAACTACTGTGTGGCCTCCTCAGCCCTTGCTGTGAAACTTCCAGCAAGCCCCTCTGGACCACTTTATATGCCCCCGCAGCCCCACGCCCTTTCCCCACACCCTCCTCTGTCCTTCAGTAGCCTCCCCAGTCTGGTCTGCACCTTTTAACCTAACTTTCTCTGGCTGGTCAGAGCCAACACCACTTCCCATGCTGCATTCGTGGAAGGCCCTCTCACTACCATTTCCTTGCTGAGTCTTGCTCATCCCCTTGAAACTGATCTCCTGGAACAGTCTTCCTCCATTGGCCTGAGCCCTATGCTGCCCTGGCCTCACTCAGGCTAACTTGGCCCGGCATTGGCAAGTGCCTCCAAAGTGGAGCCTGGGGCTTCACCTACTTGTTCCTTTGTTGCCCTGGCCAGGTGAAGCACACAGTAGGTGCTGCTATTGTCATGGGCAAGCCCTAACAGGGGCAGTACTTAGCCTCTGGTGTGGGCAGCTCTGGGCTGGGTCTCAGGAGTGGGGTTTGGGTAGTCCTGGGAAAACACTGTCAGTCACTTTTGCAGCCACCAAGGAGAAGAGAGCCCCCAATAAAAGAGAACCTCAACAAGGGAACCCCCAGGGGTTCAGTTCCACATCAGGGTTCACATTCCATTTCCGGGCTTAGAACTGGGAAGCTTGTGAAGAAGCCCCAGCCCTGGGTGTGCCCTAGAAAGCAGAATGGAGGGATGGGTCTCCAGACTAGCCTTCCTCCTGCTTCCTGATGCCTCAAAGGGCTTCAGCTGCACCCTGCTCTGGCATGTGTGTTCTTGGGAGAGGCAGGGCCCAGACTTTGTCCCTGGCAACTGGAGCCTGCCCAGGACTGGTCCATCCAGCCCTAGGCCCTACTTCCTGTACTTAGTCCTCCCCACACTGAGCTAGGACTATCCTGACCCGAAAGGTCTGTACATATTCTATTAAGTAGGAGTTAGGATAGCAGTCTCTTGAGCTAGGAATGGCTGCGGTGGGGAGTAGGGGGAATGGGTTTATAGGAAAGGAACACTGTACTTTAAGCCACCCTCTTCCTCCCTCCCATTTGGAGGGCCACCTGTCTAGTAGCTGGGCTCTCATGGAATCCAGCCTTGCCCATTCTCTTCCTCAATACTCATCCACCCACCTAGAGCTGGTAAGTGGCACCAGTCAGTGACCTCTAAGGGCTCAGACCCAGCCAAGAAGAATGATTCCTAGGCACTGGGATGTAAGCCTGAAACTGGGCTCAGTGGGATGCAGAGGCAGGTAAAGCACAGGGACTACATCCAGGAGCACCCAGTGCTGGCTGGAGAGAGATGGCAGCCAGAGCCTGGGACTTCAGAAGGTAGAGGGCATGGGGGAGGGGACCAGGCAGGGAGGACACTCTGGAGGGGGTGGGGCAGGAACCTGGCCTTGCTGGATTTGCTGAGCAAGGGACAACATGTAGAGAGGCATAGTGAGAATGCTGAGGGGGTGACTCAGGATCTCCTCACCAGGTCACAAAATGTTCTCATACCCTAGGGGTCTTCAATGTGTTCAGGCTCTAGAAGGCTGGCAGGAGGCAGCCTTTGGGATGCCTCGAAGGATCCAGAATGTGCCTCTCATGGTTACCTGAGGCAAGGAGAAAACTATTTTAAGCTTTACCCTGGGTCACATGTTGTTCCAGATATATATGGATGTTACCATGTTATTTTATTTCATCTGCCAATGACTCAGTGAAGTAGGTATACCTCATTTTAGAGATGAGGACCAGAGACATAAGGAACTTACCTAAGATCACACAGCCAGTGAGGGGCAGAGATAATTTGGAATCTACCATCCTGCTCTGCTTCATCTTATGACAAAGGTGAAGAAGGACAAGGGCTGGAGTGCTTATATTTAATGATCAGACATCTACAGAGAAGCCGTTCTGGAAACAGCAAATGGGGTCTTGAGAAGCGCAGGCCCCATGATGGGGCCTCTGCCAGGTCTGTGCCCTCAGTCTCAGTATGTGGTCTAGAGGGTCTTTCTTCCCTTGAGACCTCCCTCCTCTTTCCTCCTTAATGAGAATCCCCAGCCTTGCAGCCAATCTTGCCCTCAGGGTTGGCTGAGTCTGTGTACGGTGGACCAAGAATACCTTCCCAAGGGAAGAGATATGACCTGCCCCTGTAAAGTATGGGGGTAGGTGGTATGGGGGTGGGGAGTGGAAAGAGAGCTGGGCAGGGAGGCAGGTGACTGGGTGGCTTCTAGTAGAATCTGTGCTATAAACAGGCTGTGCAGCTTGGGCAAATGGCATTATCTTTCTGGGCCTCCTCATCAATAAAATAAGTCTTCTACAATTGCATAGCTTCTTTAGTCTGATGGAGATGAGAGGTGGGGATTACAGAGACTTAAGAGAGGAGCTGGGGAGGAGGAATCGGGGAAAGGAAGACCCCCTCCCCCAACCAGGCTCGTGTAACTCTGCTGCCCCCTAGTGGTTGCATGGAGTAACAGAGACATGGTCTCATGGAGAACATCATGCAGATCATCTCCCTGCCTCCCGCAGACATGAAAGAAAGGTTCACTTTTAGGGGCCTTTACCAGCCACTGCCTCCCTCGAGGCTGTGTGCATTCTGGGTGAGAGAAAGGCAGTCGCAGCCTATGCTCAGGGTACGCACGGCTATGCCTAGGATTGCATGGGTTATGCACTCATGTATTCATTCTGCAAGTGCTGCAGGAGGGTCTGTAGTTTGCAAGGGCACTCTGCCAGGCCCTGGAAATCTGGAGGCACTTGGCACACCATTTCTTCCCTCAGAGAGGCTCTGTTCAGTGGGAGAGCAGAAAAGCAAACCACAGACTCTGGAGAAAATAGGAGAATGTGGTGGCTGCTCCAAGGTGTGACATATTGTGTGAGTAACACTTGGGAAGCACATAGCCAACAACTCTGAGGCCCTGTCTTAATGCTGGTATGTTCTGGGCATGTGGGCCTCCAGCCTGATGGGTTGGAAGTCTCTCCCTGTGGGCCCAACGGGATGGCTGGATTTTTACCTGTGCCTCCTGCTCCCCTGCTACTGTCCTGCCCCTAGTCTGGCTGGGAAAGGGAGGAAGGGGGACAGCAGACCTTGCCTCACCCCTGCAGCTTCTTCTATCTACACCCATTCTCCTCAGACCCGGTCTAGGAGTCTGGGTTCCAAAGATGACAGAGAACATTAGGTCTCGGCTACATCTTCCCCTCCCAGGCTGGTGCTCTGTGGACCTCCCAGCTTCAACAACACGGTGTGGGCAGGTGATGGGAAGCTTGACTGCCACCCCACCAGTGCCCTGCCCCTCACCATCAGAGCCTCTGCTGG